TAGCCAATCAGAAGTCAGTATTTAAGTTTGTTATACAAGTCTGCAGATCAAATATTAAAAGCTGCAATTTAATTGGCTCTCTCTAAATGCAAACCTCTCTAAATACACGTTTTAGACTAGTCTGTACACATTGTATTTATGGAGGTTTGACTATACTAACATATTTTCTATTTTAGGATTTTATTTATTAGACTATTTTTACTACAGTTTTAGAGTTAATACTATCATTACGATCCTTATGCATAATGATTTATATATAATAAATATATATATAATGATTATATGCATAATGATTATATATATAATAATATTATATATAATAATTCTACTAATATGACTTGGATAAATAAATAAATAACTTATAGTTTAAATAAATAAATAAGGGATCTACTATTTCCACCATGAAAAATTGCTATTTTTACCATAATTACACAAGATTTTCTATTTTTAGTTATTGAAAATATTTGAATTTAAACATAAGAAAATTTAATTTTTTTAAAATTAAAGAAATTTTTATTAAGTTAGAGTTTGTTGAGCTTCTAAGTAAAGTTGTAAAAAAGATTTTTCTAGTTCTAATGGTAATTAGATCATCAAAATTGGTCTTGTAAATCCCAAGATACTTGGAGTTAAAGACACAAAACAGATCTTGGGCCTTTGTGTGATATATGAGTTACATGAATAATCTTTGGATCGCAGAAAGCTACAGGGCCGATATGGCGGTAGAGCACTCACTTGGCAAGTCCCAAATAGAGAGATAGCACAGATCTTTGATAGTACTACGTAGAGTGCGGAAAAAAAGCCTGGTTGATTTCTGAAATTTTAAAGGCTATAAAAACAATGTTCCACAATTGGTGCTTAAGCCGAACCTATTGTATATAACTAGTATGATAAACACACTTTTAGCAAATAGGCTCTATTTGTATCTCTTACACGCCTGCTACCAGTAACAAGTATTCAAAGTTGACTGGGTCGGGCCCAATCGGGCTAGGTCTAGACCCGATCCAGTTAACTTTGAAGACTTGTTACTGGCAGCAGGCGTGTGAGAAATACAAATAGAGCCCATTTGCTAAAAATGTGTTTATCATACTAGTTACATATAATAGGTTCAGCTTAAGCACCAATTGGGGAACATTGTTTTTATAGCCTTCAAAATTTCAGAAATCAACCAGGCTTTTTTTTCCGCACCCTAGTACTACGTAAAGGATCATCATCAGAGAAACTGGTAAAACTGAATAGGACTAAAGTGTTTGGCAAGACACTCTACCAACCAGGCTACCAGAGGAGTAACCGAAGAAAAAAGACCCAACCGTAGGGACTAGGAGCAGATTACAGCCCTTCTGGGCTATCTGGATTGGTAGTTTGGGATAATCAGGGATACCGTAGATGGTCTGTAACATGTATACCAGGTTTGGAGTAAACTCTATAAGGGCAAAAGTACGTTGTGTAGTGGCAACCAGGCTATAGTACCCAATATGAAAACTGGGGCGCAAGTGGTAGGCCTCAGCCTGTGTGTATCAACTGAAAACTAGGTCAGCTAGATTGATTTCTGAGGATAAAGGGCTCTTGGGGGCAAGAAGCCTGCTTTAAAGTCCTAAGTTGGTATCCGAAACTAAGGGTTTCCAAATTGAATTTTTGCTTAGTTATCAGGTATAATCACATAGACACAGAGGGTTTAAATAAATAACTCTCTAATCGAGTTATAGGTATGATATTTAATGTAGAACTTAATAATAAGCGGACTACTTAAATAGGTAACCAAAAGTTGCACGTATGACTAGTTATACTCTCCAAATATATATACAGGATGTGAAAATCACATACTATAAAATTATAACTATCTCTTAAACCGTAATACAGGCAAATTTGCTTGCTAAAATTTTTTTTGTTGTTGTTTTTTATAATTACTTAAAATTTTATTATGCTTAGACCCCTTATTTCTATGCTAAAATGAAAATTTGAAATATAATTAGTTAATATTTTGTAAAATTTGTAATTTAGGTTTAATATAAGGCCATATAAAAAAAATTTTTTGGTTTTCATAACATAGAAAAAAAATTTTAACCCGGCAACCCGGGGTTTTTTTTTTATATATATAAATTTTTTATATCTAATATGCATATTCAAAACAAGAAAAATACATGTTTAACATAAATTTGATAATAGAAAATACTTGCATTTGCTATAACAAAGCTCTAGTTAGTATTACTGCTACGGCTACTATGGTTACTATAACAGCATATAATAAAGTTTTGATACAATCGTATAAAAATTTCATTAGTTTTTAACCTTTGAATTTTTAAAAATATGCCAATGTGATTAACCCGAACCTGCACTAGCAAACTAATTGTACAATCCAAATACAAAAAATAGAACTTCAAATCTAAACTATATAATAAAGTGTGTTAAATCTGACTTTATATAATTATTATCGCTCAATCAGATGACTTTATTGAAAACAAATGAAGAACATATAGGAATTTCGCTCGTAGGCTTTACATTTACAATAAAATACATTCAAACACTAAAATAATTGATCTAAATCCAATGAACTAATACATTCACAACTTTAAAGTTGCTATCGTATTAATTGATCTGCCATGATCCTCCTACTAATAACTAAAACATCTAAAAATCCTAATTATACTACAAAAAATAATCTGTAATATGCAAGCAGAAAAGGCTTTAAGAAGAGATCCCATAGCAACAATAGAATCATGATATAGCGGAAATCATTCGTTTAAAAAGGAAGATTGTACCCTATGTTATTACCTCTGCGGGGCTTAATTATCACTAAATCAAAGGTTCTAGTACTGCCAACGTAGCCATGGAGCTTACTTACCACTACAAGTCCTTGTTTGCTACAGCAACCACTAAGCTTCACACTACTCACTAACGCCCCTTAACTTATCAAACCAGAGCCATAGTACTCTTTACGACCACCAGATCACTGTACAAGAGGCGAAGACAGAGCCAGCCTTCATTACAAAGCAAGCGATAGTGAAAGAAAGATAAACTTCCTATACAACCCAACAAACCTCAAATACTGTATCTCCATTATAGTTGCTGGTGAAACTGATGACTATCTAAATCTGATTGCCTATTTACTATATTAGCCAATCAGATTATAGATAGTTACCAGTTTCACCAGCAACTCTAATCTCCAACTAATTAAAACAATTACCCTTACTTCTCAACAATCGGTTCTAAACTTATAACACTTCGTCAAAACAATAAATCATATGCAATCAACAACAATAACTGGAATTTACCTGCATTCAATGGGGATCAAGAATTTATTACTAGCAGCTAAACAATGAAGTACGCATGTGATCCCGTAAAGCTGCAATAATGATCGCTCTGTTAACTCGTGTTGGGCTTTCAGTTAACTGTTTACATAAAGCAAAGATTTATATATTACCAACTATATTATTTATTTATAAAATTGCACTTACCCAGTTAAAGTTTAGTAAATTTGAATAATAATGGTGATAAAATACAATATATATAAACAAAATCGAAACAATACGTAGTACTTGGTCAATAATCATTGTTTCCACTTACGGTATATAAAAATAGAAAACTTCAAAAAAGAAATCGCAGCAATTTCTTTTTGAATTCATTCATGTGCATAAATGTGCATGAATGCACATAATTAACAGATAAAAAAAATATTCTAAAATTTTCAAGTTTGTTTAGCTCTTGATTTTCCTATTAAAGTCAAATTCTTCTTACGATTTTGTGATTTCAGCTGATATAACATTTGCTTTTTTAAAGTAATGAATTTTTAAGAAATTTCACATTTCCTAGACGAATGCATATCAGTTAGAGTATATCACTGCATACATTACCTTTTTGAAAGAGTATTGGGATACTATTCGATTGTAAACTAATATTTTTAAAAAGTATCTGGTACTAACCAAGTGCCAATCGTATTAGAAAGGTTTTTAACAATTATTATATACATACCCAACTGACAAATATTATCATAAAGTTAAACTGCTTTTTAAAAAAAAAAAAAAAGCCATTGATTGTCTCAATCTGTCTATGAATCGATCTTTTGATAATAACAAAAAGTTCCTTACAAAATTATGCTTGTCGCTACTTCTAGTTTTAACCTAAATTGATATATTTAAAAAGTGCATATACAAGAAAATTGGTAAGCGCATCTGCTTGTTTCAATATTATAACACAAATCTGACATATATTATATTCATGACCTGAATCAACTCACTTTCTTCATAATATCTCTTATATAGTACCTCCGAGAATATCATTTAATTTACCTTAGCTTTTTTAAAAAAAAACAACAAAATACTGTATATGGTATTGTATGGTAGAGAATATGATATTGCTGCACATTCGTGTTCTGCACATTATCGTTGTTTTTATGATTTAATAATTGACAAAAATAGTTATATAAGTTCAAAAGCAACTAACCAAATAAATTTGCATAATACTTATTTGAGAATAAAGAAGTATCATTCGTATGTTTAAGATATCGTGAATTTTTTTGAATATAAATCCATTCAATTCATAAAAAGTATTTTAAGCAAAAATAAAAAAGTGTCATTTTAAAGATTTCAAATTGATAATAAACAAACTTATAAAAGTCTCATATCAAGTTTCTGATAATATAGCCTAACAAGAATATACCGTTCACAAATATATGTATTTCAAAAGGGTCAAAAACTCTTCATGGTTGGTATATTCATACCATTCCATATGAGATGTCTATTAGAGAGTTTTTTGACAAACTTATCGATAGAGAGATATTACCAGAATGCGACATTAATATAGACCCCTTTGAAATCATTGAAAGCATTGAATTGAGCCAATCTATAGGTGCAACAGCTATTCAAGCAAGTTTTAATTGTAAAATAATAGAAATAACAAAAACGTTTGGTGTAAATATACATTATCACCTTAAATTTAACAATCCTACAACTTCTCATTCAGTATCTCTCCCCAATGCTCTTGAAATACTTATGCGAAATTCTTATAAAAAGCAAATATATATACCAAGTTCTTTGAAGTCAACACGATTAAACAGAAAAAATATATTGTATAATGATATCATTGAATGTATTCATAAACATGGTGGAGGATGGTCCACGGTTGAATCTGCTGATACACAAGGAAAATATTTTGTCAATTGTTTGCATGAAGCTGTTTGGTATATTGATATGTGTGGGCATTTAAAATTTAAAGAACGTAGCTTTCATATTCCTGAATTATTTCTAGAATTTTTTGGTCATGCTAACCCTGAATCGTATAAAGCGTCCTGAAAGCCTTTTGATGCAGACGAATTAAATCTCCATTATCAGGCCCTTGCATCATTTACGACATCACCATGGATATTCAAACTGATATTTGATTGGCTTCGTAAACTATATGAGAACTTAGTTGAAACTATTTCAAATTATGTTAATTTCTTAAGGCAACAGAATATAAATACTATAGCAAACCATGCATCAACAGTTCCAGTAAGAAGTATTGAGTGAGCTACAACAATCAAAATACACAAAAGTAATTCACAAGTCATGCCGAATAATAAGATTAAATATCACCAACTAGAGGTTATACTTAAAGATTTACCTTTATGGAAACCAATTGATCTTGAAAGATATTTGCCAACGGACTCTGTGTATGCAAATTTAAAATAATATGATAAATAATGTTGAAATCGGATGATAAAAATCTGGATCTATATATTTTAA